GAAAAATGCATCCTAAATGCCCTGCATAGCTCCTTACCCCACCAAACCCCCTTTTGTAAGGGTCAAACCACTCCTACTCATAAGTATAAGCAAGCAAGCAAGCAAAGAGCTGGAAGGGACCTTGGAGGTCATCTAGTCCACCTCCCTGCTCAAGCAGGAGGCCCTACGCCATTTCAGACAAGTGGCTGTCCAGTTTCTTGTTAACAACCTCCAATGCCCACAATGTCTGGTGGCACGCTGTTCCACTGGTTAATTGTTCTCACTGTTAGGAAGTTTCTCCTCAGTTCCAAGGTGATTCTCTCCTTGATGAGTTTCCATCCATTGTTTCTTGTCCTGCCTTCAGATTCTTTGGGAAATAAGTTGACCCCCCCTTCTTTTTTGTGGCAGCCTCTCAATTACTGGAATCCAGTTATCATGTTCCCCCCTAGTCCTTCTTTTCTCTAGAGTCTATCCATACCCAAATCCTGCAACCGTTCTTCCTATGTTTTAGTCTTCAGGCCTTTAAATCATCTTAGCTGCTCTTCTCTCCACTTTTTCCAAAGTCTCAACATCATTTTTGTAATGTGGTGACCAGGATTCCAGCTGAGGCCTTACGAAGGCTTTATAAAGCGGCACTAATACTTCACGTGATTTTGATTCTATGCCTCTGTTTATACAACTGGGGATTGTAAATGAGTAGAAAGTAAATCTGCTTAAGGTAATTCCACCACTGACTGAAAAAGCTATAAGTAGTACTTAGTAGATTTGCCCTACATGTCCTCCGAGGCACATTTTTTAAAAAAACAAAAACGTGGTACAAGATGGAATGTTTGTGGCCGCCATTTTGACTTTTTTTGGCACATGCACCTTGGGGGTCATCCCTGGATCCCTGCCTCTGTCCATGGAGTTGGACATTTTTTAAAAAAGATTATTCCAAACAAGCCAAATTAGAAATAGAATAGAATAGAATAGAATAGAATAGAATAGAATAGAATAGAATAGAATAGAATAGAATAGAATTATAGAACAGAATAGAATTATAGAATAGAATAGAATTACAGAATAGAATAGAATTATGGAATAGAATAGAATAGAATAGAATAGAATAGAATAGAATAGAATAGAATAGAATAGAATAGAATAGAACAGAACAGAATAGAATAGAATGTATGGAATAGAATAGAATAGAATAGAATAACAAAATACAGAATAGAATAGAATAGAATAGAATAGAATAGAATAGAATAGAATAGAATAGAATAGAATAGAATAGAATAGAATTACAGAACAGAATAGAATTACAGAACAGAATAGAATTACAGAATAGAATAGAATTACAGAATAGAATAGAATAGAATAGAATAGAATAGAATAGAATAGAATAACGGAAAGGACCCTGGAGGTCTTCTAGTCCAACCCCCTGTTCGGGCAGGAAACCCTACACTAAATGAATTCTAATTCCAAGCATCAGCCTGTAAGATCATCTTTACTGAAACAATATCTGGGTCTTCTCCATAGTGAGGGGCGCAGGACACGGGCTTTGTAACTTGTTAGCAAACATATTTATTTTGTATTTTACTTTGCATTTTAAACTTAGTTACTCTGTATTTGGACCTGACTTCCTTTTTCTCTCTTTTAAAATGGTGATCAGGCTTTATAAAAACCATTAGACTGGGATGCAGGAAAACCTCTTTCCCTATGGCTGTATGGATGGATTTAGACAGATAGCTCCTAACATCCCTAGAATAAAGTTACATCCCTAGATAAAGTTACGGAAGGAGGGCTTATCTCCTGATAAGAAAAATTTTCTTAGTATCAGCTGGCATTTGGTTATCTAGCTTCAAACAACCTTTGTGGTTGATTTCGTGTGCAAAGGAGGGATTACTTTTATCTTGTCCAACCATTTTTTCTTTGATACGTTAAATAGAAAAGGAGATGTAAGCTAAGGATCAGGGCTCCCTCTTTGAATGGGAGGAATCCCTATTTGTCTGAATATTCTGAAAAATTGTAATAAAATGATCTTCCTGTCTCTGGGTCCGTCTCATTGGAAAATATGCATGCCAAGGCATGAGACTAATAAAAAGAGCCATATTTAGCCTTCGGAGGGCACAAGGGGAATGAAAAGACAATTAAAACCATAATTAGCTGCCGCCCACTATGTTTTATCTCTGAAAGCCCAGCCTCTAACAAACAAGGGAAGGGAGGAATATCATTCTTATTATTCACTGTTTCTTAATTTTAAGAACTTTAAGATGGATGGACTTCAACTCCCAGAATTCTAAGAGTTGAACTCCATTCATCTTAAAGTTCCAAAACGGTGTTTATTACTTCTATATTTTTTGGACTATTTACCTCACTGCATTTCTTGGAATATCTCAAGTGGTGCGTGAAACTCAAAAACCACAAAATATTAAGTATGGGGCAGTACTCAAAATGACTCCACTTTAAGAAGAGGCTAGACCCGGGGTAGGCCGCCTTGCCTCTTTTATGACTCGTGGACTTCAACTCCCAGAATTCCTGAGCCAGCCTGGCTCAGCTTGGAAACCTCTCCTTTCTCCTCAGCGTGGCTGGCTCAGGAATTCTGGGAGTTGAAGTCCACGAGTCCTAAAAGAGCCAAGGTTGCCTACCCCTGGTCTAGGGACTCCTACATGAGCAGGAGGTGGACTAGAAGACCTCCAAGGTCCCTTCCAGCTCTGTTATTCTGTTATTCTGAATGGTCTGGGCCAGGGGTGGGCAACCTTGGCTCTTTTATGACTCGTGGACTTCAACTCCCAGAATTCCTGAGCCAGCCACGCTGAGGGGAAAGGGAGAGGTTTCCAACCTGAGACAGGCCGGCTCAGGAATTCTGGGAGTTGAAGTCCACGAGTCCTAAAAGAGCCAAGGTTGCCTACCCCTGGTCTAGAGACTCCTACTTGAGCAGGGGGTGGACTAGAAGACCTCCAAGGTCCCTTCCAGCTCTGTTATTCTGTTATTCTGAATGGTCTAGGCCAGGGGTGGGCAACCTTGGCTCTTTTATGACTCGTGGACTTCAACTCCCAGAATTCCTGAGCCAGCCATGCTGAGGGGAAAGGGAGAGGATTCCAAGCTGAGTCATGCTGGCTCAGGAATTCTAGGAGTTGAAGTCCACGAGTCATGAAGGGGCCAAAGTTTCCCTCATGCTAGCTCAGGAATTCTGGGAGTTGAAGTCCACCAGTCATGAAGGGGCCAAAGTTTCCCTCATGCTGGCTCAGGAATTCTGGGAGTTGAAGTCCACGAGTCCTAAAAGAGCCAAGGTTGCCTAGCCCTGAGCTAGACAGACAAGTGATGGTATAGATTGGACTGGACTGGGGCTGGACTAGAAGACCTCCAAGGTCCCTTCCAGCTCTATTTTATTCTTATTATTAAACCATGTCAAAAAAAAAACAAACCCTCAGCAGATACTCAAACAAATCTTGGGAGGTGAGTCAGTATTTCGGGAATTTTTTTTTAACCCCGGCATTTTCTACAGTCCAATGCTGGCATTGTCTTTATTCCAGTGTTCCTCAACCTGGGGAATTCTGGGTGTTGTAGTCCACACACCCTAGCTGGGGAATTCTGGGAGCTGAAGTCCCCCCCATCTTAAAGTTGTCAAATCGGACAGAGCCTGATCTAAGGCAGGTGCATTTAGACCTCTTCAAGCAGGTAATCATGATTAAGCAGCACACCATATGCACCTTCTCTCAGTTAGTCCTCTATTCCCCCCCCCAAATTTGGCTATCTAAAAGGTGGACCCCCAAAATATCCTGTGTTATTTCTTTACTGCACTCATCCAAATGAGATAAAATCCCAAAGGGGCAGTGAGGCATAATTGCAGTTCTGTCCCTTTAAAAAGTGGGACGTACATAAAAAGGGGCGGGGCCTCACACTTTAAGGTGTGACTCCAGTTTGACTTTTTTGACCCCCCCCCCCTTGGGCATTACCTATGCATTTTAAAATAATATTTATTGAACATGTCCTTAATGTAATTACAAACTGAAAGGGGGGGAAAGCAAAGAGGACTTCCGACTTGATTGAAAAAAATTAAAAAAAAAAACCAGGTCAGGTTTGAGATTAGTGCAAATTCTGACACTCTCACCATCTGTGAGTTTTTGAATCCTTCTAAATCCTTTTCTTGATTCCAGTGTTCCTCAACCTGGAGGATTCTGGGAGTTGCAGTCCACACACCCTAGCTGAGGGAATTCTGGGAGCTGAAGTCCACCTGTCCTAACATTGTCCAGTTCTGATCTAAGGCTTATACTTTTAAACCTCTTCAAGCTGGGTATCGTCACCGAGTGTGGCTGGATGGGGCATTCTGGGAGTTGTAGTCCACACACCCTAGCTGGGGAATTCTGGGAGCTGAAATCCGCCCGTCTTAAAGCTGTCAAATCGGACCAAATCCTGATCTACGGCTTGTACTTTTAAATCTCTTCAAGCCAGGAATTGTAACTGAGCGTAGCTGGCTGGGGGATTCTGGGAGTTGAAGTCCACGCTTCTTCAAAGTTGCCCGGTTTCAGAAACATTGTTCTAAACACAAGAATCTGGTGTGCGTTTGGCCCCAAATGCCTTACACCCACCTTGATTTTTGCACAAAAGTCTTTCATGCACAATCTCCATCCAACAGCATACAGGGAGGGAGGAAGAAGAATTTAAGGACATATAAATGATCTTCTTCCTTGCCCAAAAAATAAAAATAAATAAATTCTGGCTGAGAATGTCTCCTCTTCCAGTTATCGTCTTTGGACAGAAGCTCGCTTATCAGCCGCCCGTCACCACCTGTGCCCTACACCAGTGTGTATGTGTACACGCATGTGTTCCACACACACACACACACCCCTCCATCCTCTGGAATGTTCTTTCTCCACGGAGCATCAAAGGATGCAGTAAGGAGGAGGAGAAAGGCAGCCGATGAGGAGCTTAAAAAGCAGCACCATTCATGGTCAGGCCTGGCCTTCTATAGGACCACTTCCTTGTCAACATGTCACTCACAGCTGAAATGATCTGCAGGGAAGGGGGGAGGCAGGAGGGGGTGGGGAGCAGCTGATGCTATTTTGGAAAGGCGGATATAAAGAAAGGGGCCACCATTAGAGCCTCAGTTCTTGCTGGGACTCCAGAGCGGGACATCTCCAGTGAGTAAGTATGAACTTCTTCCGAACGGAACGGTTGAGTTTTGCCAGGAAGATCTAGACAGGAACGGAACCCAGAAACTTGAACCCGTGTCCCATCCTGGAGCGATGTTCGTACAACCTTACCGACTTTGGGCTGGAAAAGAACAGCGTTGGTGGAAGTAGGTTGTATCCGTGCCTCCGTCGAAGGAGTTGAGGGCCTACGTTTGCAAGAGGGACCTCTTAGTGTGTGTGTGGGGGGGACTTCTTGGAAGACGTGAATAGATGGAGGAGTTGGATCCGGATGAAAAGAGAGGGGGGTGCGCACGTGGATTGTGAGGATGGAGGCCCAGCACGGTTAGAAGAACTGAGCTGACCACAGTTGGGGAGCATCTGCAGAGCTTCTCACCCAACGTGGGTTATCACAAACAAGGACAGCATGGATGAAAGATCTGGATGGCTATGCAGTGTTTCTCAAGCTTAGCCACTTGACTATGTCTGGACTTCAGCTCCCAGCTGGGGAATTCTGGGAGTTGAAGTCCAGATATCTTAAAAGGGGCCAAACGTGAGAAACAGTGGCAGTGAAGGGAAATCAGAGAGAGCAGGACAACCTGTAGCAGGTACTACAGCCAGAAATCTTGCTGCAATTAAGAAGAGATTGAACAACACTTGTCTGAAATGGTAGGGGTCTCCTGCATGAGCAGGGGGTTGGACTAGAAGACCTCCAAGGTCCCTTCCAACTCTGTTATTCTCCTCCTCCTCTTCCTCCTCCTCCTCTTCCTCCTCCTCTTTTTTAAGAAGCGACTAGACAGCCATTTGTCTGAAATGGTATGGTGTCTCCTGCATGCGCAAGGGGTTGGACTAGATGACCTCCAAGGTCCATTCCAACTCTGTTATTCTCCTCCTCTTCCTCCTCCTCTTCCTCCTCTTCCTCCTCCTCCTTTTTAAGAAGAGACTAGACAGCCATTTGTCTGAAATGGTATGGGGTCTCCTGCATGCGCAGGGGGTTGGACTAGATGACCTCCAAGGTCCCTTCCAACTCTGTTATTCTCCTCCTCTTCCTCCTCTTCCTTTTTAAGAAGAGACTAGACAGCCATTTGTCTGAAATGGTATGGGGTCTCCTGCATGAGCAGGGGGTTGGACTAGATGACCTCCAAGGTCCCTCCCAACCCCGTTATGCTGAATCCACTGAGTCAGCCCTGGAGGTTTGCAACGAACAAGAGAAGCTTTGCAGGAAATTTAGCAGAAACTTTAGGCTCGGTGGGTGCAACGGCCAAAAAGACGAGAACAACGCAGAGATGATTAAATAAAGATGAAGTATAAGCAAGCGGGAGAAGAAGGGAAGGTAACTTGGAAACCGTGTCAGAGAGAGAGAAAGAGAGAGAGAGAAGGAGAGGGAGAGGGAGAGAGAGAGAGAGAGAGAGAGAGAGAGAGAGAGAGAGAGAGAGAGAGAGAGAGAGAGAAATTTTGGCCACCAAGCAAGTCAAGAAACAATGGATGAAAACTAATTAAGGAGAGAAAAGCAATCTAGAACTAAGGAGAAACTTCCCTACAGTGTGGACAATTACTCAAAAAGATGGCTTCTTGCCTTCAGGAGTTGTGGGTGCTCCAACACTGGAGGTTTTTAAGAAGAGACTGGACAGCCATTTGTTTGAAATGGCATAGGGCAGGGGTAGGCCACCTTGGCTCTTTTATGACTCGTGGGCTTCAACTCCCAGAATTCCTGAGCCAGCATGAGGGAAACTTTGGCCCCTTCATGACTGGTGGACTTCAACTCCCAGAATTCCTGAGCCAGCATGGCTCAGCTTGGAAACCTCTCCCTTTCCCTTCAGCTGGCTGGCTCAGGAATTCTGGGAGTTGAAGTCCACCAGTCATAAAACAGTTGAGGTGGCCTACCCCTTGTTTAGGATCTCCTGCTCAAGCAGTGGGTTGGACTAGATGACCTCCAAGGTCCCTTCCAACACTGTTATTTTGAAAAGAAGGACTAGGGGAGACATGATAGTAACGTTCCAATATTTGAGGAGCTGCCCCGGAGAAGGCGGGGGGGGGGGTGTTTCAAGTTAATCTCGAAAGCCCCTGAAGGCAGAACAAGAAGCAACGGATGGAAACTAATCCAGGAGAGAAGCAACCTGGAATTAAAGAGAAACTTCCTGACAGTGAGAACAATTAACCAGTGGAACAGCTGGCCACCGGAAGTTGTGGGCGCTCCAACACCGGAGTTTTTTAAAGAAGAGATTGGACAGCTATTTGTCTGAAAGGGTAATTTGTCTGAAATTGAGTAGGGGGTTGGACTAGATGACCTCCAAGGTCCCTTCCCACTCTGTCATTCTCTGTTCTTCCGTTATTCTGTTCTTCAGTCAAAACCCTAGTAAATAAAAGTAAGGGTAGAATTTTGCTCTGTAATCTGTTCTCCTCTGGCGTGTCTCCCCCCCCCAAAAAAACCTACCTAAGGTTTGCAAACAGTTCCCCCCCCCTCCATCACGTATCACAACTTTTCGAGGGCAGTTGTCCACCCCCTCTGACATCCATGTCCAGCTGTACCCAGAAATATCAACCTCAAGGCATCAAGTCTTGGCCTCTTTTGGGATCTTAACTTTTTTCTCTGTTTCTTTTTCTTCTCTCCCCCCCCCCACCAGCTTTGAATTCTTTTTTGTTCCTTCGTTGTCTCCTTGCAAGCTTCTTAAAGGTAAGACTTTTATTATTATTATTTTTTAAATTTTGGCCACCCGTTAATGCTCCAATACTGGAAGTTTTTTAAGAAAAGACGGGACAGCCATTTGTCTGAAAGGATATAGGGTATAGATGACCTCCAAGGTCCCTTCCAACATTATTATTATTATTATTATTATTATTATTATTATTATTATTATTATTATTATTATTGTCGTTGTTGTCATTGTTGTTGTTGTTGTTATTATTATTATTATTATTATTATGCATTTTTCGGCACTGTGTTCCTGGTTAAGCCCCCAGCACAGATGAAATTCCTTTATTTTATTTGTAAATTAAGGTAATCATAATATGTCTTTATTTCACTTATTGATTTTGTATCCTACCTTTGTTATTTTTACAAATAACTCAAGGATGGTGAACATTTCCAAAACACTCACTATTTTCCCCACAACAATCCTGTGAGGTAGGCTGGCTTGAGAGAGAGGGACAGGCCCACAGTCCCCCAGACAGCCAGTAATTTAGGACAAATTCCCAGGTGACTGTGAGTTCTAGCCCCACCTTAGGCATAAAAACCGTCAAGGTGACTTGGGCCAATTACCAGGTGACTGTGAGTTCTAGTCCCACCTTAAGTAGGAAAGCCAGCTGGGTGTCTTTAAGCCAATCATCAGGTGGCTGTGAGTTTTAGTCCCACCTTAGGCATAAAAGCTGTCAAGGTGACTTGGGCCAATTACCAGGTGACTGTGAGTTCTAGTCCCACCTTTAGTAGGAAAGCCAGCTGGGTGTCTTTAAGCCAATCATCAGGTGGCTGTGAGTTCTAGTCCCGCCTTAGGCATAAAAGCTGTCAAGGTGACTTTGAGCCAATCACCAAGAAACGGTGAGTTCTAGTCCCGCCTTAGGCACGAAAGCCATCAGGGTGACTTAGGGCTAATCACCAGGTGACTGTGAGTTCTAGTCCTGCCTTAGACATGAAAGGCGACTGGGTGAGCTTGGAAACCTCTCCCTTTCCCTTCAGTGTGGCTGGCTCAGGAATTCTGGGAGTTGAAGTCTCCCAGTCATAAAAGAGCCAAGGTGGCCTACCTCTTGTTTAGGATCTCCTGCTCAAGCAGTGGGTTGGACTAGATGACTTCCAAGGTCCCTTCCAACTCTGTTATTTTGAAAAGAAGGACTAGAGGAGACAGGATAGTAACGTTCCAGTATTTGAGAAGCTGCCTGGGGAAGGCGGGGGGGGGGGTTCAAGTTATTCTCGAAAGCCCCTGAAGGCAGAACAAGAAGCAACGGATAGAAACTAATCCAGGAGAGAAGCAACCTGGAATTAAAGAGAAACTTCCTGACAGTGAGAACAATTAACCAGTGGAACAGCTGGCCACCGGAAGTTGTGGGCGCTCCGACACCGGAGTTTTTTAAAGAAGAGTTTGGACAGGAAAGCCAGTTGGGTGTCTTTGAGCCGGTCACCAGGTGGCTGTGAGTTCTAGTCCCGCCTTAGGCATAAAAACCATCAAGGTGACTTGGGCCAATTACCAGGTGACTGTGAGTTCTAGTCCCACCTTAAGTAGGAAAGCCAGCTGGGTGTCTTTGAGCCGGTCACCAGGTGGCTGTGAGTTCTAGTCCCGCCTTAGGCATAAAAGCTGTCAAGGTGACTTTGAGCCAATCACCAAGAAACGGTGAGTTCTAGTCCCGCCTTAAGTAGGAAAGCCAGCTGGGTGTCTTTAAGCCAATCACCAGGTGGCTGTGAATTCTAGTCCTGCCTTAGACATGAAAGGCGACTGGGTGAGCTTGGGTCAATCCTTCTCTCTCTCATCCTAACCCGCCTCACAAAGTTGTTGCTGTTTGGGGGAAAATAGAAGTATTAACTAAGTTCTCCGCCTTGAGTTGTTTATAAAGGTGGGATATAAATCAATCAATTTATAGTCCCTCCCCCAAACTTAACCACGGGACAAACACCGTGGGAGAAGAATCAGCAATAGAATAGCAAATTTCACCCTTGTATATAACATATGTACTACACAGGGTCTCCTGCTTGAGCAGGGGGTTGGACTGGATGATCTCCAAGGTCCCTTCCAGCTCTGTTTCATTCTATGTTTTATCATTATCTGCCAGCTCACAGATGTGTGGAGAGCTCATTTCTTTCGAAGGTGGAGAAATGGAAGTTATGAAAGGCAAACATTTGAAAATCTGGCGGCTTTTTATCAGCTTTTATATAAGCGTTTCGGTGGAGATCACTCAGGGCTGGCATTTCGGTTCAATAAGAGAGCGCAAACACCTCACGAATATTTTTGAAAAATGTTGGAGGGGTGTCAAGAGAAGGGATTATTATTTTTTTTCAGAAATGGGTAAATGAAAAAGCGATGCCTTTCTGGGAGAAAATATTCCCAGAAGTAAGGGTTAGAACTAAATTGGGCCCTCAAATTGGGATGATTTTATTATATTTCTGAGGTGGTTAGTACTAAATTATTTGACAAGGAACTGCTCTACGTGTTTATCGTTGGCAGCTAAATTAATAATGGCTTGAACAGCAGAATTTTTTTATAGAATTTATCCTTTGAGAAAGGCTAATGGATAGTCAATTGCTCTTCTTGAAAAACCTATTGATAAAATCCAAACGCTAAATTCTCTGAGGGGTGAATTGCATTTTGATCGGGCTGGAAAAGATGATAAATAACACTCATGTTATCCGTGAGGCTCGCGTTCTTGAATCCCATCCCCGTGGAAGCAAAAATCAGGATTATTGAAGCATTTGATCTTAGGGAAATTCCATGATTTATTCCATACATAAGAGTTTTTAACAGAATAAAAACGACAGCAAAAATAAGAACGAGCTTTTCCCACAGGGCAGATTTTAGATTATTTTTCCGTTCTTTGCCTGGTTTTATATATAAGCTACATGGAGACCATGTTTCAGGAAAATTCTATGACCATAATAAAGATTTGATTGAATGCTTGCATTACACTGTTATAGAAATGTAAAAAAGATCCGTATCTCTCAAGCTTGGCAACTTTAAGATGTGTGGACTTCAATTCCCAGAATTCACCAGTCAGCAAGCCTGGTTGGGGAATTCTGGGAAGTGAAATCCACTCCTCTTAAAAGTATGACTGGCTGGGGAATATTATTATTATTATATTATAATATAATATAATATAATATAATATAATATAATATTATATTATAATATAATATTATATTATATTATATAATATTATATTATATTATATTATAATATTATAATATAATATAATATAATATTATTATATTATTATATTATATTATATTATATATTATATATTATATTATATAATATAATATAATATTATTATATTATTATATTATATTATATTATATATTATATATTATATTATATTATTATTACATTACATACACATACACATGCATACACATACACACACACACACACACACGTATATATTGCATTTGTTTAAGGTTGAAGAAGAATACAATTGGGAGAAGGAAAGGTCAAAGAAATATAATATTAATATACTAATTATGGAATTATCAAGATCAGTCATTACTGACTATTAATTATTATTGTTGGGTTTTTTTTCAAATGTATAAACCAAGGAAACACGTTGTATACCAGGCACTGGCAATTGTTATTGTAAAAAAAACCCCAATAAAATATTTTTTTTAAAAAAAATTGCTCAAGCTTTTAGCACCGCAACGGTGCCAGGGCCGCCACTGTCCAACACTCACTCCCATGTTGTGTGGGGCTGTGCGTCCCTTTCTCTTCAATCTCCTTCTCGGCCTCCTCTCTCTTCCTTTCGTCCGGCGACGTAGAATGGGTGATGCAGCAATGGCTGAATTCGGGGCAGCGGCTCCTTACCTTCGCAAGTCGGACAAGGAGCGTCTGGAAACCCAGACCAGGCCCTTCGACAGCCGCAACGAGTGTTTCGTGCCCGACGAGAAAGAGGAATTTGTCAAGGGCAAAGTGACGAGCCGGGAAGGGGCCATGGTCAACGTGCAGACGGAGAGCGGCAAGGTGGGTGGAGAAGGTGGGGTTGGAAAAGATGGGTTCCAGAAGGAAGCTGGCAACGGAGGAGAGATGGTTGGGAGGGTCTCCGAGGTGGACAAGTGAGAACGTGTGAGGAAGCTGGGTTCCAGAAAGAAGGTGGCAAGGGAGGGCAGATGGTTGAGGTGATTGTCCAAGATGGGCTGGTGAGAATCGTGACTCCAAACATTTGAAACGGTGTGGAGTCAAGAGCAAGGAAGGAGATGCTACAGTGGAATCTTGACCGAGAGTGAAGGATAAATATCAAGGCCTTCAAAGAATTGAGAGGAGCTGAAGTATCATTCCAGAGATGCCAGATAGATAGTCCCACTCTCCGAAGTTTCCTTCTAGAGTCCCGAGAAGAGTTTCAGCCTCAGCCCTTTGAGGTAGTCCAACCAAGGAAGCACAAGCCATGATTACTAACGTTACCTTTACCTGGTGTCTTTTCGAGTCAGAAAGCACCCCTCTCCTTCTTTTCTTGGGCCAGAAGGATTTGGGGTGACATGATAGCAGTCTTCCAGTATTTTTGGGTCTGCCACAGAGAAGGGAGGGGGGTCCACCTATCCTCCAAAGCCCCAGAAGGCAGGACAAGAAGCAATGGATGGAAACCAATCAAGAAGCAACCTGGAACTGAGGAGAAATTTCCTGACAGTGACAACAATTAACCAGTGGAACAGCTTGCCACCAGAAGTTGTGGGTGCTCCATCACTAGAGGTTTTTAAGTGGAGATGGGGCAACCGTTTGTCTGAAACGACATAGGGTCTCCTGCTTGAGCAGGGGCTTGGACTAGAAGATCTTTAAGGTCCCTTCCAAAAAACTAGGGAGGGTCCTTCTGGTGTGCTTCCCATTCCCCTTTTCCTTCCATGGGTTGAGATGTCTCTTATCTGACAGCTGCCTTGTCGGCAGCTTTTCCTCCTGTCTCCCATGGACATTGTCACAGTCGCTTACACCCGGCCAAACCCTGTTCCTTCTTCTTGACCCTTTTCAGACAGTGACGGTGAGGGAGGCCGACGTCCACCAGCAGAATCCGCCCAAGTTCGACAAGATCGAGGATATGGCCATGCTGACTTTTCTGCACGAACCGGCCGTTCTCTACAACCTGAAGGAGCGCTACGCCTCTTGGATGATCTATGTGAGTGAAAACACGTCCGTTGTTGGGTTCCACGCTCCAAACAAGGGTTTATTTTCTCCCCCGAAGCACTCCTGTCAAAGCATGCACAATCTTATTGCGCTGAGGTAGCCCAGGAGTAAATACAGTAAACAGTGATCTGTATTAAATGGTGGTTTATATGACACTATCTACAAATACAGAAACAAAATACGTAACGTGGTGAAACAGCAAACTCTAATACACAGCAGTTACAGCAGGAAACGGACAAGAGAGAAAGACTCCAGCAAAAAAAACTTCCCTTTTATACTCAGACTTTTAAAGGGATACACATACCTGATGAGTCATTCCTATTGTTGCATCATCCACCTTACATTATATCATTACATGAGCGGTTTAGCCTTTAAATCAGTGCTTCTCAACGTTTGTGTGACGGCGACCCCCGTCACACAAACGTTCTGCGCATGCGCGGTGCTGCGCGCATGGGGGGCGGGGCCCCATGTGCGACGCGCATGCGCACCACCTCCATGCGCGACGCGCATGTGTGACGCCCCCCGTGCACGATGCGCATGCACGGCGGCGCCCCCGCGCGTGACACACATGCGCGGCGGCACCCCCATGTGCGGCGCGCGTGCACGGCGGTGCCCCCCATGCGCGGCGCGCATGCGCGGCGGTGCCCCCCATGCGCGGCGCGCGTGCACGGCACCGCGAAAAATGGCGGATCGCCACCTTTGGCGACCCCCGAAAAATGGTCGATCGACCCCAAATGGGGTCGCGACCCATAGGTTGAGAACCGCTGCTTTAAATCATTATCCTGACAACTCTCCCATAGCTGATGATCTCGGTTGATGTCCTGTTACAGGTGTCTATGAATAAACACCTTTGGGTCCCCACACAGGGGTGTTGGAAGGAAGAGAGGTCAAAAAAGTCAAGATGTTGGCCACAATCATGCATTCAACGCCCATTTTTTTTTAAATTGCATTGCATTTACATCAATGTGCGGTATGTACATCGCACTCCAGAGTCACGTGATCAAAATTTGGGCCCATGGCTGGCTCAGGAATTCTGGGAGTTGAAGTCCACGAGTCATACCCCTGGTCTAAGGCAGGGGTCTTCAAAATTGGCCCTTTGATGACTTGTGGACTTCAATTCCCAGAATTCCTCAGCCAGGCGTGCCTAGCTGAAGAATTCTGGGAATTGAAGTCCACAAGTCATAAAAGGGCCAGGTTTGAAGATCCCTGGCATAGGGTCTCCTGTTTGTGCAGGGGGTTGGACTAGAAGACCTCCAAGGTCCCTCCCAGCTCTATTCTGATTCTGATGTTCCCAAGATCCTGTCCAACTCTGTGCTCCTTAAACTGGTCCAGTACCACATTTGCAATTTTGATAATACAAGAGACTGGTCAGCCTAAGTCAAGAGGCTTTGCTAGGGCTGAATTTTACAAGCCCTTCGAATTTTTTTTTTTTAATCTGTTGGTCTCAGAAATCTAATCCACTCTTATTTATATTCGTCGTGTTTATATATCATCCAAGGAAAAACGGAAAGGACACGTCATTTTTTTTTTTTAAAAAATGGCAAACTGTACATATGGTACAGTGACCTTTGAGGAGAGCAAAATGTGTGGGTATCAACACAAATGTCACAACTGCTGTTTTTTTAATTGCTTTTTTTATGAATTAGGAGGAAAAAGATCTTTATACCGGTGTATTTTGCGGAACCTGTTTCTTTCTTGCCAAATACAGCTGGTCCTTAACTTACAACTTTTCGTTTAGCAAGCAAAGTTGCAACAGCACTGAAAAAGGTGACTTATGACCGTTTTTCACAGTTACGACCTTTGCAGCCTCCCCCGTGGCCACGTGATCAAAATTAGGATGCTTGGCAACTGGTTCATATTTATGACGGTCGTAGCGTCCCCTGGGGGGGTCACGTGATCCCCTTTTGCGGCATTCTGACCAGCCAAGTCAATGAGGGAAGCTGATTCACTTAATGACTGAATTACTAACTTAACAACTGCAGCGATTTACTTAACAACTGCGGCAAGAAAAGTAGTAAAATGGGCAAAATTCACTTCACAAATATCTCAGTTCGCTACAGAAGTTCAGTGGGGTCAACTATGGTCGTACGTTGAGGACTACCTGTATGGAACAGATCTCCAATGCAACTTCCAGGTTGCCCTTACAGGTCCCTGCGCCAAATAATTCAGTGAGCCAAACTTCTCTAGATGTTTGGACTTCAGCTCCCAGAATTCCTCAGTGAGTGCAGCCATGGCTGGGAATCCTGGGAGACAGAGTTTGCCCCGTGTGGAAGAACACCAGCATCCAGAAGAAAACAGCCATTTGTCTAAAATGGTATAGGGCAGGGGTAGGCCACCTTGGCTCTTTTATGACTCGTGGACTTCAACTCCCAGAATTCCTGAGCCAGCTGTGCTGAGGGGAAAGGGAGAGGTTTCCAATCTGAGCCGTGCTGGCTCAGGAATTCTGGGAGTTGAAGTCCACCAGTCATAAAGCGGCCTAGGCCTAGGCCAGAGTTAGGCAACCTCAGCTCTTTTATGACTCATGGACTTCAACTCCCAGAATTCCTGAGCCAGCCGTGCTGAGGGGAAAGGGAGAGGTTTCCAAGCTGAGCCATGCAGGCTCAGGAATTCTGGGAGTTGAAGTCCACCAGTCATCAAGGGGCCAAAGTTTTCCCCATGCTGGCTCAGGAATTCTGGGAGTTGAAGTCCACCAGTCATAAAAGAGCCAAGGTTGCCTACCCCTGGTCTAGTGCAGGGGTAGGCAACCTTGGCTCTTTTATGACTGGTGGACTTCAACTCCCAGAATTCTTGAGCCAGCATGGCTCAGCATGGAAACCTCCCTTTCCCCTCAGCGTGGCTGGCTCAGGAATTCTGGAAGTTGAAGTCCACGAGCTATAAAAGAGCCAAGGTTGCCTACCCTTGGTATAGGGTTTCCTGCCTGAGCAGGGAGTTGGACTAGATGACCTCCAAGATCCCTTCCAACTTTATTGTTGTTGATGTTGTTGTTATTAAGATGCTTCAAATCATGCAATTTTGGGTAATTTTTTTTTTTAAATTACTATTTCCTCCTCCCCACTCCCCACACCCCCACAGACGTATTCAGGCCTCTTCTGCGTAACGGTCAACCCCTACAAATGGCTCCCGGTTTACAACGCTGAGGTTGTGGCTGCCTATAGGGGGAAAAAAAGGAGCGAAGCCCCTCCCCATATTTTCTCCATCTCCGACAACGCGTATCAATACATGTTGACAGGTAGGAGACCTTCGAGCAGATTTGCCAGGTTATTTTTAATAAAGTGACCAACTTTTTTACAATGAAAAGGAGGACACAAATAAATTGAAGAAAACAATATCGTAAAAGCTGGTTCGGCTCATGGAAGGTCAACCGCCTGCCGCACCCCGCCCGGAGTCACCCCGCCAGCACCGCTGATCTGCCGTGTAGAGCGTGCCCCACGGCTCCCAAAGCACCAGCCGTGCCGGCTCTGGCCCTGGGGGGCAGCCCGCAGTTGACACACCCCGCCTGCAGCCGCCCCGCCAGCATCACCGCCCTCCTGCACAGCCCTGTGTAGAGAGGGCCCCACAGCTCCCACAGCACAGGGGCAGCCGGCCGCTGCCACCCCTCACACCCCCGCCTGCAGCACCCCAGTCGCCCTTGCCTCTTGCTCCCGCAGCCATTATTGCCCTAGCAGAGCTGAAGATCAAGAGAAACTTACCGCTCCAGTCTCCTCCAGGTATCTTCGGGACTAACTAGGAGATGGTGTAGTTGGGGTGCTAAGTTTCTGCCAATTCGCCTTCACTGCAGACAACTTGCATGTGCAAAGTTTGCTGGCTGGGTGTTTTGGCGTGCTCAGCAGCAATTCCTATTGGCTTTCGAAAGCCAATAGGGAGAGTAGCACAGCTCATGCAAAAGTTGAAAAAAAAAACCATCAAAAAAAGGTGCCGGAACGCCGTTCTGAGCGTTCTATGAGGGGAAAAAAGCCCTGCAGATTAGTCTTCAAATATCAAAAAGGAGGTCATGAAGGAGGACACTTTTTGAGGGAGGACAGAACTTACAAAAGGAGGACTGTCCTCCCTAAAGGAGGATGGTTGGTCACCATATTTTTAAGCCCCTGGAGAAGAGAAGACTTTGTGGCTCAGGGTTGAAATGAGAGGTCTTTGGTGAACTCTGAGCTTGGTGGCTTTCTTGCAGACGTCTCATTGCCAAACTAGGGAATGTCATCAGTGCTAGAAGGGAGGGGGATTTGTAGAAAGGAGGAGGAGGAGGAGGAGGAGGAGGACTATGGCGTCCATGGTGCTCACTGAGCTTGGTTGCTTTCTTGCAGGCGTTTCATGATCCAACTAGGGAACATCATCAGTGCTAGAAGGGAGTGTGGGAGGAAGAGGAGGAGGAGGAGATGATGGGGTCCTTGGTGCTCTCTGAGCTTGGTGGCTTTCTTGCAGACGTCTCATTGCCAAACTAGGGAATGTCATCAGTGCTAGAAGGGAGAGGGGTTTGCAGAGATGAGGAGGGGGGAGGAGGGGGCCTGTGGGGGTGCTCTCTGAGCTTGGCTGTTTTCTTGCAGACATTTCATGACCCAACTAGGTAACCTCATCAGTTGTGGAAGAGAGTGGGGTTTGCTCTCTTTGTATAGACTAGCGGCCTGCCCTGTCGGTGTTGTTGGGAGTGGTCTTGTCGGTTCCTTGATTAGGCTGTTATTAACTTCCCAACACATGGATAGACTTAACATATTTTCAACTGGGAAACTATGAGCCTCCTAGCCCAGGGTAGGCAACCTTGGTTCTTTTATGACTCGTGGACTTCAACTCCCAGCAGAGCTGGCTCAGGAATTCTGGGAGTTGAAGTCCACGAGTTGAAGTCCACGCGTCAGAAAAGAGCCAAGGTTGCCTACCCCTGTCCTAGACCAAGCCAAGTCCAAAAATGCTAGAGAATTCCTGGAAGCCTGGCACTCAGCCATATCAGCCATCAACAGGCACACAGAGAGAAGCAACAACTACATACCATTGAAAAGTGAGAATCAGAAAAGCCAAAAAGGAAACAAAAAGACCCCCAAACCTCCTCACCACCACCACCCAGAGATTAACACCTAGATCAGGGCTCTTCGAACTTGGCCCTTTTATGACTCGTGGACTTCAACTACCAGAATTCCTGAGCCAGGCATACTGGCTGAGGAATTCTGGGAGCTGAAGTCCACCAGACATCAAGGGAGCCATAGATCCCCCATGCTGGCTGAAGAATTCTGGGAGTTGAAGTCCACAAGTCATGAAGGGGCCATAGTTCCCCCATGCTGGCTGAGGAATTCTGGGAGTTGAAGTCCACCAGTCATGAAGGAGCCATACTTCCCCCATGCTGGCTGAGGACTTCTGGGAGTTGAAGTCCACAAGACATGAAGGGGCCATAGTTCCCCCATGCTGGCTGAGGAATTCTGGGAGTTAAAGTCCACCAGTCATAAAAGGGCCAAGTTTGAAGACCCCTGACCTAGATCAACAATCAAGAGGTAAACCACACCCCAGTCAATAAACTATCAACTCAGACAAACAAGTTAAAAGTAAATAACAACCTAATCCGGGAATTGTCACCAAAACAGTCCTAAAATCGGGCACAACCCACTTAGCAACCTCATTATTAGCAACGGAAGGTGAGAACTACCTCTGGAGGATGTCAGCTCCCCATTCATTGTCAAAGATGAATTAATGGGTTAAATTCAGCTCCACTCTAATTCCCAACACTATCTCGATATTTGCTGTTTTCTTTCAGATCGAGAAAATCAATCTATCCTCATCACGTGAGTATCAAAGTGCACGTTCGAACTACGATTTTTATAAGCTGGAGGAGTTCATTTTTTTAAAAAATGGGATGGCTTAGAAGTCATAAATCAAAGATACCCCTTTCCTCCCCCCCCCTTTATTCTGTCTCCTTTTCAGTGGAGAATCCGGTGCAGGGAAGACAGTCAACACGAAGCGAGTCATCCAGTATTTCGCCAGCATCGCGGCCATTGGGGACCGCAAGAAAGAGGCCACCAACTCACCCAAGGTAGTTCTTATTAAGGTTTGGGGGTTTCAATAGTCTTCCCCAATCTGGTTCCCTCCAGATGTGCTTAGTTAGGGGTGATGGGGCTAGTAGTCTAACATCTGGAGAACATCAACTTGGAGAAGCTTATTTCAAAGCATGTTCCTGACAAGAAGTTCCTGGCATTTTCTGGAGAACGTCAACCTGGGGGAGCTGGAGAACATCAACCTGGAGAAGCTTCTTTCAAAGCATGTTCCTGAAAAGATGTTCCTGGCGTTTTCTGGAGAACGTCAACCTGGAGAAGCTGGAGAACATCAGCCTGGAGAAGCTTCTTTCATAGCATGTTCCTGACAAGATGTTCCTGGCGTTTTCTGGAGAACGTTAACCTGGGGAAGCTGGAGAACATCAACCTGGAGAAGCCTCTTTCAAAGCATGTTCCTGAAAAGATGTTCCTGGCGTTTTTTGGAGAACGTCAACCTAGAGAAGCTGGAGAACATCAACCTGGAGAAGCTTCTTTCATAGCATGTTCCTGACAAGATGTTCCTGCCATTTTCTGGAGAACGTCAACCTGGAGAAGCTGGAGAACATCAACCTAGGGAAGCTTCTTTCATAGCTTCACCTTTGAGAAGATGTTTCTGGAGTTTTCTTCCTTTGCGTTTTGGATTTGGCTGATAGCATCTTGAGAAGGTCCTGGTGCTCCTTTTCTTCTGCTTCCTTAGATGAAAAGCAAGCCGTGGTCTTCTGCAATGGAGGGTAGAACCAAAACTAAAGTCAGATTTCCTCTGATAGATGATGGTATCTCCTAGAATCAGCCAACAATTGCTCTACTAAATAACAGCATGGAGGGCAAACTTTATATAAAGTTTATATAGATAGATGTGAGAAGATGGGATGAGTCACTAGCATGGAAATTACTTTTGGGTCCACATTTTGGACGGACACCACCCAAAAGTTCACCAAGCTAACCAATGTCAACAGAACCTCTCAAATCAACTGAAGAATAAGATCTAAGCTCTACCATTTGTCAGTGTGGCATAGAAGAAGACAGTGTGGTATAGGCCAGAAAACCCTATGAACTCTTGATGGAACCCAGATGCACGTCTTCAGGTTGACTTTTGTTTAGCCAAGGAGGAACCACTTCTGATTCATGGACTTGCTTCTAGAGTCACCACCATTTTGATCTGGAAAGGATAAAGATGGGACCCGGAAACTTGAGAACTTCCAAAGCTCCTTCAGATATCAACCCAAATGATCCCTTCTATGTGTGGTCATTCTGCCAGGTTCTTGTGTTCATCCTTGATCATTCTTGATCTTCTGTTATGACAATGGTCCTTGTTTCAGGTTGTTCTCACACAAATGACACAACGATGGGATTTGTTTTAGCTGGCAGAACTGAGTGCCCTTTCCCATACGTCCCTTTCTCCATGCCACCAGCCTTCTCCAACTTTCTAGAAGGATTTGATGACAGATCCATCTTGGTTTCCATCAACTTATTCGGGAAAAGCTAGATTGACTATTCCAACATTCTGGTGATATTTCTTGTATCTTCTACTTCAGTATCTCTCAACCTTGGCAGCTTTAAGCTGGGTGGACTTTCAATTCCCAGAATTCCCCAGCCAGGAAAGGGGAATTCTGGGAGTTGGTCCACCCAGCTTAAAGTTGTCAAGTTTGAAGAACATTGTTCTACTGCCTCATTCATGAATAGGAACCGTTTCTATGGAGAGATGGGATGAAAAAAGCAAATGATCTTTCTTCTCCCATGGATTTTTTTTTTAATCTGTTTATCTCTTTAGGGGACCTTGGAAGATCAAATCATCCAGGCCAACCCTGCCTTGGAAGCCTTCGGCAACGCCAAAACGTTGAGGAACGACAATTCTTCCCGTTTTGTGAGTGTTCCAAATCTAAAGTTGGACTTGGGTAAGAAAAGATCTCCAGAAGTTCATCTAGAATGGGTAGGCAACTTTGGCCCCTTCATGATTCGTGGACTTCAACTCCCAGAATTCCTGAGCCAGCCTGGCTCAGCTTGGAAACCTCTCCCTTTCCCCTCAGCATGGCTGGCTCAGGAATTCTGGGAGTTGAAGTCCATGAATCATAAAAGAGCCAAGGTGGCCTACCCCTGCTCTAGAATCATGGTGGAGGGCAATAAGGAGGAAGATATCTCATTTCTCTTCCTACTCCACAAGGTTAGGTAGATCTTGAAGGAGCTGCCATCTTTCAGAAGCCATCAGCCAATTCCATAATACATGTAGTTCTCGACTTACGACAGTTCATTTAGTGACCGTTATAAGTTACAACAGCCCTGAAAAAAGTGACTTACAACCATTTTTCACACGTACAACGGCTACAGCACCCCTTGGGATCACACGATCAAAATTCAGACCCTTGGGCAACTGACTCATATTTATGACGGTTGCAGCGTTCCAGGGTTGCCTGATCCCCTTTTGCGACCAAAGTCAACGGGGAAGCCGGACACAACGACCGTGTCCCTAACTTTGATTCACTTAACAACAGTCTCACCTAGCAACAGAAATGTTGGATTCGATTGTGATCGTAAGTTTGAGGATTACCCTTGCAATTAGTCCTCGACTTACGACCGCAATTGGGATCACAATTCCCGTTGCTAAGCAAGGTGATTTTTAAGGGCGTCACGCCTGATTTTACGACCCATTTGCCACCGCTGTGAAGTGAATCCCTGCAGTTGTTAAATTAGTGACATGGTCGTTAAGGGAATCCAGCAAATCACTGTAGTTGTTAAGTGAATCGCACGGTCGTTAAGCAAACCCGGCTTCCCCCCTCGGCTTTGCTTGTCGGGAGGTTGCAAATGGGGATCACCTGACCCCAGAATTCAGCAACTGTCATAAATACGAGTCACTTGCAAGCATCCTAATTTTGATCATGTGACCATGAGGGAGGCTGCAACAGTCGTAAGTGCGAGGACTAGACGTAAGTCGCATTTTTTTTCAGTGTCATAACTTTGAATGGTCGCAAAACAAATGGTTATAAGTCAAGGACTACCGGCAGAATGGAAGATCTGATTCAAATCTAGGCTCCTTTCACCTATTTACACTCATATTTCTACCTAGGGTAAATTCATCCGAATTCATTTCGGAGCAACAGGCAAGTTGGCATCCGCTGATATTGAGACATGTAAGTCACCCTGGTTAATAAAACTTTTATTTTATTTTATTTTATTTTATTTTATTTTATTTTATTTTATTTTATTTTAAGAAGAGACTGGGCAGCCATTTGTCTGAAATGGTATAGGGTTTCCTGTCTGAGCAGGGGGTTGGACTAGATGACCTCCAAGGTCCAACTTTATTATGTTGTTGTTGTTGTTGTTGTGTCTTCGTTCCCTGGCCCACATCCAGCCAAATGGCCTCCTAACCAGTAAGGTCCTGACTCCTAGAGGTGGAAAGGCCTGGAAAAAAAAACTAAAAAAATTGGGGAAAATTTGGGGTTTTTTTTTTCTTTTTTTCCAAAGCCGTTTGGGGGGGAAATGGGGGAGGGACTATTTTTTTCCCCCAATTTTTTCAGTTTCTTTTTTCCAGGCCTCCACATCCCTAATCCTGACCCACCAATACTGGCTGAGAATTTTAGCCAGTTCCAGCTGAGGAAAACTGGTTTATATAGAAAATGGAAAGACTCAAAAGTGGAAAGACAGCAGATAAGATGGATGAATGAGGTCAAAGCGATGACCGGAAGGGCTGTAAATTATTCCCAGCCACCGATCAAGTTGAGTTTCAAACATGAATCACCTTGAACTCAATAAAACCTAATTAATTGCACCTCTGTCGTCTTTCCATCCGACCTTTAGCTTCCCTCTCCAAATTTTTTACCCGTCCATTGGGGCGCTTGTTGACAGAAGCTTTTTTTTTTTTTCAGTCAAGCATTTCTTTGTATCTGATTCCAATTTCGTTCATCTTTTTGTCTCTTCGGTTTTTTTTTTTCTTTTCTTCTTCTCATTTTTACATAGCCTCTGTTATATTTTTCTTTCTTTCTCTCACTCTCTCTCTTTCTCTCTCTCTCTTTTTTAGATCTCTTAGAGAAGTCCCGGGTGATTTTTCAGCTTAAATCCGAGAGAAATTATCACATCTTCTATCAGATCCTGTCCAATAAAAAGCCAGAACTTTTGGGCAAGTTTATATATATATATATATTTTTGGGGGGTAGAAAGATAATTTACAATCATTCATTTAGTGAAGGTCTTCTCAGAATTCCCCAGCCCAGAATTTGTCTGTAATTTACAACCTTTCGTTTAGTGACGGTTTGAAGTTACAACAGCACGGAAAAAGGTGACTTATGACCATTTTTCACAGTTGCGACCTTTACAATCGCATGATCTAAATTCAGATGTTTGGTAACTGGTTCGTATTTATGACTGTTGGTCGTGTTGATCCCCTTTGGTGGCCTTCTTTCAAGCAAAGTCAATGGGGAAGCCAGCGGGAAATCGAAGACGGTCCTTGTTTAACCGTGTTACTAACTTAACAGCCGCAGTGATTCACGAAAGATCGTAAAATTTCCCTTAGCAAATGTCTCATTTAGTGACAGAAATCTGGGGCTCCGTTGTGGTCGTAAATTGAGGACCACCTCCATTATGAATAAGCCAGTGGTGGGATTCAGCTGGTTCGCACCACTTTGGCAGAACTGGTAGCTAATTTCTTGTCGCCCAGACCCAGAACGGACTTCCGGAAGCGGCATCCACACAGAGAACCGGTTGTTCACCTATTTGAATCCCACCACTGGAATAAGCCCATCTCATAACTGACCTTTTCCTCCCATCGTCTCCTACCAGATCTCCTTTTGGTCACGAACAACCCTTACGACTATCATTACGTCTCCCAAGGAGAAGTAACCGTGGCCTCCATCGATGACTCCGAAGAGCTAATGGCTACCGACGTAAGTTGACTTTGGGTTGAGGTTCACCAACCTTTCAGGAATGGGTAGCAAGCTGGTCAACCTACGTCCTCTTCACTTTTCATGGACATTGTCTCTTTCGACTCCCTCACCTCTTTTCCGCTCAGAGTGCCTTTGACGTCCTGGGCTTCACCCCTGAGGAAAAAGTGGGTGTCTACAAGTTGACGGGCGCCATCATGCACTATGGGAACATGAAGTTCAAGCAGAAGCAGCGTGAAGAACAGGCCGAGCCTGATGGGACGGAGGGTGAGTGTTGGAATTGATGTGTTAGAATGTATTTCTATAAGGTGACCAACTTTTTTACAATGAAAAGGAGGACACAAATAAATTGAAGAAAAAAATATCGTAAAGAAAAGAAACATTTTATTCATTGCAACAATAATACAGAATACACTATAATGTGGTAAATGCATCATAAAAAACATTTGTAACAATAACATTTAATATTGTAATTATGTCCTGGCAAATAGACGGGGAAGAAATGGAGGTAGTGACAGATTTTATTTTTCTGGGCTCCAAGATCACCTCAGGTGGGGTCTGCAGCCGAGAAATTAAAAGACGCTTGCTCCTGGGGAGGAAAGCTATGGCAAATCTAGACAGCATACTAAAAAGCAGAGACATCCCCCTGCCAACAAAAGTGCGTATAGTCCAGGCCATGGTTTTCCCAGTTGCAATGTATGGCTGTGAAAGTTGGACCATAAGAAAGGCTGAGCACAAAAGAATTGAGGCCTTTGAACTATGGTGCTGGAGAAGACTCCTGCGAGTTCCTTGGACTGCAAGGCATTCAGATCAGTGAGTCCTAGAAGAGATCAACCCCAACTGGTCTTTAGAAGGCCAGTTGAAACTCAAATACTTTGGCCACCTAATGAGAAGGAAGGACTCACTGGAGAAGGGCCTAATGCTGGGAAAGATGGAGGGCAAGAGAAGAAGGGGACGACAGAGAATGAGATGGCTGGATAGAGTCACTGAAACAGTAGGTGTGAACTTAAATGGACTCCAGAAGATGGTGGAAGGACAAGAAGACCTGGAGGAACGTTGTCCATGGGGTCGCGATGGGTCGGACACGACTTCGCAATTAACAACAACAACAATTGTAATTATGCTTACATGCCGCGCCTCCACCCGCAGCCACCCCGCCAGCACTGCTGCCCCATGTAGAGCAGGCCCCTCAGCTCCCAAAGCACCAGCTGCGCTGGCTACGGCCCCGGGGGGCAGCCCACCTTCGACACACCCCGCCTGCAGCCGTCCCGCCAGCACCACCGCCCACCATGCACAGCCCCGTGTAGAGCAGGCCCTGCGGCTCCCACAGCACAGGGGGCAGCCGGCCACCGCCGCTCCTCACATCCCCGCCCGCAGCAGCCCCACTGCCCCTGCCTTTTGCGCCGGCAACCATTATTGCCCTAGCAGGGCCAAAGATCAAGAGAAAGTTACCGTGGCGTCGCCGCTCCAGTCTCCTCCAGGTATCTTCGGGACTAACTAGGTCAGTGGTTCTCAACCTTTTTAATGCTGCGACCCCCAACCGGTCGTAAGTCGAGGACTACTCAAGTGGTCGTAAGTTGAGGACTACTCAACTGGTGCAGCACCGTTTGCAGAATGGGACTTTTGGCGGGCTCAGCAGGGCAGAGACAGCCTGGACAATTCCTATTGGCTTTTGGAAGCCAATAGAATTAGACTCTATTCAAGAGAGTCTATTCTATTGGCTTTCAAAAGCCAATAGAAAAAAAGGGAGTAGCACAGCTAAGGAAAAGGGGGGGGGGGGAAATGGCGGACTGTGTTGTTTGGCGACCCCCGTGAAATGGTTGTTCGACCCCACAGGTTGAGAACCACTGAACTAGGAGATGGTGTAGTTGGGTAGCAGGGAGGGGTGCAAAGTTCCTGCCAATTCGCCTTCACTGCAGACAACTTATGTGCAAAGTTTGCCGGCTGGGTGTTTTGGCGCGCTCAGCAGCAATTCCTATTGGCTTTTGAAAGCCAATAGGGAGAGTATTGCAAAATTTGGAAAAAAAAAAAAAAACATGAAAAAAAAGGTGCCGGAACGCCATTCTGAGCATTCTATGAGAAAAAAAAAACCCTGCAGATTAATCTTCAAATATTGAAAAGGAGGACATGAAGGAGGACACTTTTCGAGGGAGGACAGAACTCACAAAAGGAGGACTGTCCTCCCTAAAGGAGGATGGTTGGTCACCTTAATTTCTGTGCAACAACCATAGTAGTATTCAGCCAGTAGATGGCAGTATTCACAAGTTTGGATCTATATACTCTATGCCAGCAGTTCTCAACCTGTGGGTTGGGACCCCATTTGGGGTCGGACGACCATTTCACGGGGGTCGCCAAACAACGCAGTCCGCCATTTTTTCCCCCTTTTTCTTAGCTGTGCTACTCCCTTTTATTCTATTGGCTTTGGAAAGCCAATAGAATAGACTCTCTTGAATAGAGTCTAATTCTATTGGCTTTCAAACGCCAATAGGAATTGTCCAGGCTGTCTCTGCCCTGCTGAGCCCGCCAAAAGTCCCATTCTGCAAACGGTGCTGCAAGTTGTCTGCAGCGAAGGCGAGCTGTCTGGAAGTTTCCACCCCTCCCTACTGAGCAACTACTAAAAATGTAAGTAAAAGAGGGCCAGGGGTGGGAGGTGGGAGCCCGGCGGACGCAGGGAGGGTTGCTGGTGCGCGTGGAACCCGGCGGGTGCCTTACCTCCCTTGGGCTGGGCCAGCTGGTGGCCCAGCCGGTGGTCGGCCTGCTCCGTCTCTGCCGCTTGCCAGCTACGCCTTGGCTGGCATGGGGGCGGCACCACGCATGCGCGGCGCTCTCGGGCAGGGAAAGTCCTTGACTTATGACCGGTTGGGTAGTCCTCGACCTACGACCGGTTGGGTAGTCCTCGACTTACGACCGGTTGGGGGTCGCGGCATTAAAAAGGTTGAGAACCGCTGCTCTATGCTCTTTTGTTCTAAGCAGAGTTTCCTGTTACAGTTAAACAGTTAAGCAGTAAAGCACATGGTGGCAGTACTCTTTCTTTGCTGTGTGGTGCTACATATAAAAACAGAATTTCTAACCGTGAGAAAGCAATGGACCTTAGGACAAAGGAAAAAGGGCTGGAGAAGTCGTAGTTGGTATGAAAAGGTCTTCCTCAAAAGCCTCCTCCAGTTGTGTTGCTCCCCTGGATGCAGAATTCCACTGGTGGTTGGGAATGTCAGGGGTTGAGGGACACATTTTGGGAGGAAGACAGATAGAGAAGGTCTTCTCGGAGTGTCCTAAGAAGGAGAGGACTTCTATGGAAGGAAGAGGACATCAGCAGAGGAATATCTCACCTTTCTTGTTTTACGTTCCCGTGAAATTTGCCGGAACCGTTTCTTTTACTCTCCAGATGCGGATAAATCTGCCTACTTGATGGGTCTCAACTCAGCCGACTTGGTCAAAGGGGTGTGCCACCCCCGGGTGAAGGTTGGCAACGAATATGTCACCAAAGGGCAAAATGTCCAACAGGTAAGGATGTTTCCTTTTCTTAGGCTCGGTTGGAGTTATCCAACTGGGAAGTCTTTGGACTTGGCTGAACTTTCCCTGAGCTGCACAATTGAGAAAACAGCACCTGTTGAACTTCTACCTTGCAATTCTTAAAGGGCACGTTTCCTCAGTATAAAGGAGGGCGGGTTTAGTACAGGGAGTCCTCGACGTACGACCACAATTGAGCCCAACATTTCTGTTCTTAAGCAAGACATTTGTTCAGCGAGTTTTGCCCCATTTTACAACCGTTGTTAAGTGAATCAATGCAGTTGTTAGTAATGCGATTGTTAAGGGAATCTGGCTTTCCCCCATTGACTTTGCTTGTCTGACGGTTGCAAAAGGGGATCACGGGGCTATGGGACATGGCAACCGTTGTAAATATGAGTCAGTTGCTCAGCGTCCGAATTTTGACCACGTGACCATGGGGATGCTGCAAAAGTCGTAACTATGAAAAACGGTCATAAGTCACATTTTTTAGTGCTGTTGTAACTTTGAACGGTCACTAAACAAGCTTATTGTAAGTCGAGGAGAACGCTGCTATCCTTTCACCCCTAGTTCTTCTTTTCATTAAACTAGACCAGGGGTAGGCAACCTTGGCTCTTTTATGACTCGTGGACTTCAACTCCCAGAATTCCTGAGCCAGCCACACTGAGGGGAAAGGGAGAGGTTTCCAAGCTGAGCCAAGCTGGCTCAGGAATTCTGGGAGTTGAAGTCCACGAATCATAAAAGAGCCAGGGTTGCCTACCCCAATACTAGACATCCCCAATTCCAGCAACTCTTCTTCTTCATATATTTTAGCCTCCAGCCCCCTGATCATCTTTGTTTCTCTTCTCTGCACTCTTTTTTCTAGAGTGTCAACATTTTTTTTACATTGTGGTGACCAAAACTGGATGCAACATTCCAGTTGTGGCCGTACCCAGGCCTTGTAAAGTGGTATTAATTTTTCTTTTACTTTGATAAAAAAACAAAATAGCAGAAGGCCTGAAACTATGGATTGAAGGGGGGAGCTGGGCTCAGCAAACCCCTGTCCCACCAAGGGCCTTCAACTATGTCCATGACAGCTGGAACCCAAAACACAAAGTAAGCCACAAATACACAACGGCTTGCAGATCCTGGCTGATAGCTTTATCTCCTTCTAAGGCATGGCATCGGCTAGCCCAGGGGCAGACAACCTTGGCCCTTTTATGACTCGTGGACTTCAACTCCCAGAATTCCCGAGCCAGCCATGCTGAGGGGAAAGGGAGAGTTTCCAAGCTGAGCCATACTGGCTCAGGAATTCTGGGAGTTGAAGTCCACGAGTCATAAAAGAGCCGAAGTTTCCCTCATGCTGGCTCAGGAATTCTGGGAACTGAAGTCCACGAGTCATGAAGGGGCCAAAGTTTCCCTCATGCTGGCTCGGGAATTCTGGGAACTGAAGTCCACGAGTCATGAAGGGGCCAAAGTTTCCCTCATGCTGGCTTGGGAATTCTGGGAGTTGAAGTCCACAAGTCATGAAGGGGCCAAAGTTTTCCTCATGCTGGCTCAGGAATTCTGGGAGCTGAAGCCCACAAATCATGAAGAGGCCAAGGTTGCCTACCCCTGGCTAGAAACTGAGAAACGGGCATCTTACAGAGATATCTCTTCTTTCAAACACCGGAAACTGGAGAAAAATGGCTATAAATAACACCCGGACTATTATAGATAGTCCTCGACTTACAACAGTTCATTTAGTGACCATTCAAAGTTACAACAGCACTAAAAAAAGTGACCTACGACCATTTTTCACAGTTGTGATCTTTGTAGCCTCCCTGGGGGTCACAGGATCAAAATTCAGTCGCTTCGCAACTGGCTCGTATTTATGACGGTCGCAACGTCCCAGGAGTGTCGCATGATCCCCTTTTGGGACCATCTGACACGCAAAGCGAAGCCAGATTCACTTAACAACCGGGTTACTAACTGAACAACTGCGGAGATTGACCAAACAGCTGCGGCGAGAAAAATCCTAAAAAACAACTGTCTCATTTAGCAACAGAAAATGTGGGCTCAATTGCGGTCATAAATTGAGGACTCCCTGTATTTTGAAAGCACTCTTTGATTAAGCGAAAATACCAGTAGCTACAGCAGCATCTTTGGTGCAGAGTTAAAAAAAAAAAAAACGGGTTAGCCTCAAATTTGTGATTCCTTGGATCACAGGTGATCCCAGCCAAGATTTATGTCTTTTTATTTATTTATATCCCGTCTAAAAATCTTGATAGATTTGTTTGCTCTTTTGCAGAGTTTAGATCAGGGGTCTTCAAACTTGGCCCTTTTATGACTTGTGGACCTCAACTTCCAGAATTCCTCAGCCAATATGCCTAGCTGAGGAATTCTGGAAGTTGGTCCCCAAGTCATAAAAGGGCCAAGTTTGAAGACCCCTGTCTTAAATCTAACAAACAAAATGGAGGCTGGCTGAGGAATTCTGGGAGTCGAAGTCCACTAGTCATAAAAGGGCCAAGTTTGAAGACCCCTGTCTTAAATCTAACAAACAAAATGGAGGCTGGCTGAGGAATTCTGGGAGTCGAAGTCCACAAGTCATAAAAGGGCCAAGTTTGAAGACCCCTGTCTTAAATCTAACAAACAAAATGGAGGCTGGCTGTGGAATTCTGGGAGTCAAAGTCCACAAGTCATAAAAGGGCCAAATTTGAAGACCTCTGTCTTAAATCTAACAAACAAAATGGAGGCTGGCTGAGAAATT